TTAAACGTAGGCGTAAGCTTGTTCCCTGGAAGGACGTTCTGCATGCATACCTCATCTCCTATTCCAAGATTCGATGGTTTCGCTCTACGACGAAGATTCTCTGCAGCTTTACCTTTTTCCTTTTCCTGCAAATCGCGGTCTCCATGTTCGGTCAGTGTCTGAATCTCCCAAGGATGGCAATTTGGTACGTATATTCCTTCCGAACATCAGTTCAGCCGGAGTTTTCCCAGTTGTGCTATGTGGAGTCGAATAGTACATCGACAAGTAAGTGAGGAGGTCACGCTACCAGTCGCGATTTAGAGCCTGGCTGATCTTAAGACGCCCCATCAAAGAGTGGCTCTGTCGCTCTACATCCATTCTCTTGAGGCCAATACGGCGTGGTTTTATTCAGGATAATTCCTCTATTCCGGCAGTAACGTTCAAATTCTATGCTTACAAACTGTCGAGCGTTCAACAAAGTTATAAATAAAAAGCTTTCTGGTAGAGTCGAAAGCGTAGATAGCACACGCAATAAAATAGGCAAAAAACCATTACATCGTCTGCAAGGTCAACTTCTAACATTCGCTGCGATGTTCATGAACAGAGGTTGGTAAGAAATGTAACTAACATTCATTGCACTAAATTTTTGGTTTGCGCGTAGGAGATTGTGCTGAAGGTGTGCCAATGTATGTGCCCTAGCTGTGCCGAATCTAATTGCGGCACAATGTGCTGAATGAAGGTCCCTCCAAACTGGCGCGTTTTTTAACCGCAGCGGCAGTTTTTTTCGCAGCGTCGTAGCGGTCGTGAGCAATGGATTCGTCGTTGAATGAAGAAGAGGCGGTTTTGCTAGTTTCTTTACAAGCAGAGAAAAATGCATCGAAGTATTTTGTCAATTTCCTTCATTTAAGTGATTTTTGTTTTGACGATTATACATAACGAGTTTGTTTATCTTCAGAGAAATTTGCAGAACTTCAGGAAAATTCGTAGATCATCAAAAACTTTGTAGAATTTCAGAGAGGTTGAGTTCGTTCTTAGTATTATCCCGATATTTCAGGTGAATTAGCTCAGGAATATTTTTTAGTTCTGCTAAAAACTGCTCCTACGGAACGCACCTTTGAATTCATATGCCGTACTCTTAAGAAATTAATTTGAATTATTCTCAGAACTGAATTTATTTCTAAATTCACTTTGGATTTTCTCCTTCCTTTGGAATTTAACTTAATTCTCCTTATAAAATAAATGTACTTCTAATAACATATTCCTTAGATTTAGCATAGCATATGCAATTGTACAAATCGTGGGTGGTCAACTATCTGCACAAATACCTTAGATTTCTCCTCGGGAAGCTTCTTTGAAGGGCAGTGACTTTATAACGGTTTACCGATCTTTGTACAAGTTGAGCGAATTTCTTATAATTTCGAGAAAGTTTGTAGAAGTTCATGGTTTGCTAGAATTTCAAGAATTTCGGGGGGCTTCAGGGAGTTTTGTAGATGGGAATATTGTAGAAATTACAATGATTGTCTGAGATTTTGGTCAAATTTCAGGGAAGAGTAAATTAAATTTAAATAAGTTGTAGTTTGTGTGATTCCAAAACCATTCAATAGCATTCAATGGGCTACAAGACCTATCATTTGGCGCTGAGTTTGTCCAAGGATGAGTGGTTGCCGAGAAACATGAGCGTATTAATTTCGTTACACACACACATACACACACACAGACATTTTTCGATTTTCCGTTTTTACCATTGTGTACAACAACACCAGCACACAAGAATGAAAACTGCGCTTCTTCAGCGGCAAAAACGCTGCAGACAGCGAACCGAAAGCGAACGCAAAAGAAACGCTGCAAAAACGTCGACCCGCCGCGTTGGTTTGAGCGCTGCCGCGGCGGAAAAAACGCGCCAGTTTGGGGGAACCTTGACCGCTTGGAAAGAACAGTATTTCAGTGGAAGGGTACATCGATCGTGTTGCGGAGTTTTTTGGGCTCCGTGATGCTAAGCGGGCGAAGACGCCAATGGAAGAGGGTTTCCAGAGCACGGAAGATAAGAGTCCTCAACTATCGGACGGGATGGATTATCGGAGTATTGTTGGAGCACTTCTCTACATTGCCGTGTGTGCTAGGCCGGATGTAGGAGCTAGCGTAGCGATATTGGGTCGTAAAGTGAGTGCGCCTACGGAGGCGGATTGGATAGCGGCAAAACGTGTTGAAGGCAACGAAAGAGTGGAGATTGAAGTACAGTGACGCGGCTGGAAATCTAATCGGATATTCGGATGCCGATTGGGCTGGTGACGTTGGTACAAGAAGATCAACAACAGGATTCGTCTTCCACTATGCCGGTGGAGCAGTATCGTGGGCTAGTCGAAGGAAAAGTTGCGTCACACTATCTTGTATGGAATCCGAATATGAGGCGCTGAGTGATGCTAGTCAGGAGCTGATCAAGCTTCGTAGCTTGCTGAAGGACATGGGTGAACAGCTAAGCGATTCTGTCAAAGTGATGGAGGATAACCAAAGCTGAGGTGCGGGGACATTTCGTGAAGCAACTGTGTGATGACGGATGCATCGAGTTGCAGTACTGTCCAACTGAAGACATGGTGGCTGATGTACTCACTAAACCGGTGGGTTCAGTCAAACAGATGAAGTTTGCACGGATGCTGGGATTGTCGTCATAGGATGGCAGTGTTCGTTGAGGAGGAGTGTTGGTGTAACAACGGTCATGCCACCTTTCACTACACACCTTGATGCAAAGAGCTATCCTGTAGTGACAGTGATATCGAAAGAGACGGTAGCAGAGCGAGAGCGCAGCATCAGCCTTCTGCTGTGTGCGCCTTTTTTTATCATTCGCAAAAGTAAACTCGATGTGTGTACATCTCGTGTTAATTAAGTTTATATCATCAAGCATTAAAAACTCGGCCTTTTATTCCGCAGGAACTTCAGTCCGAGAGCTTCCTCTAGTTTTGGTAACAATACTTCCCACGCAAAAGAGTCAGTTTGTCTACTATGCTTGATAGGTAGACGGTTTGACAGTTCGATAGGTAGATTTTGGTTTCATTCTGCGTAACTCTTCTATAAGGTAATCCAAGAGACGTTTCTCAGTGGAACTGCCAGCTAGAAATCTAGAGTGTGTGAGTGATCTGGTGTTTATGCTGCTGAATGTAAACATAAACAAAACAGAACTTCATATGAGAATAAACGGCCAGTTCTACTGTGGTCTGTCAAAAGTTCTTGGTAATCAAAAAAGTCAGCTGATCGCAACTGTCTCGTGGACAGCCTTATTATCAACTCTGCGTTCCAAAAAATATGTTACATTACAACAGGGATACTACATTTGAACAGACGCGTCCTGTCCTAGGTTTATACTACCCATGATTCGCTGGCAACTTACCCCCGATGTACTATGGTTTTTGCTTTGACGTGTTGTTCCATAACAATGTACTTGATTGGCTACTTTGTTTACCTATGCGTCCTATAAGATTATAACTACTAGGCAGAATTTAAGGCTGATAAAATAAAATAAATTATATCATTTTTGTTTTTAACGAAACAGGAGAAAATTGTAGAAAATGACAAATGTTTTGAATGAATAAATTTAACAAAATTATAAAGTTAAATTTGGACGTCTATTTTCATTACTACCTATTAACTTACTGTCCGTAATCAATTTTTAAATAATATTATAATGATTTCGCTATTCATATCTTAGTTATTAAGTTATTTTAATCGTCAATTTATTGTAAACGATTTCTCCAAATAAAGTTTGTTTTGTCAATTTCAAAAAAACACAACCTGTTTGAAAAACTGAACTGCTATCGCAACAAAAAATTAAACGTAGCTATAACAGACATGATTGTACACATTGGTTTCCGTCAGCATGGTAATTTTTTGTCCAGCTTTGCACAGTTGAGTGCTCGGCAATCAATTTGACTGATATCTCAGTAAACATGACATTTGTTTGCTGAGATTCAGCAAAGCATTTTCCGAGACAAAAAAATTAAGTTTGCAGTACCGTTGTAGGTTGTACCAACAATCAATACGAAAATTAACGATTTTAAATTGGCTCACTACATGAGTAGCCTATTGGTCCCAAGCAAATTGACTTACGTGCCCTATTCTAGTATAAATTCCAGTACTACGCTATGTTTGTTTTGATTCACTTTGAAAGTTTGACACATAAAATGAGGGGTTAGTGGATTTTCCTATGTTTAGAGGGGTGAATCGATTAGCTTGGGACCAAAGATAGTACCAGAGCTGAGCAAAAAAGTTGAGCTCGTTTCTTCGGGACCTTCTGGTCTTAGAGTTACCTCTATGGTTGTACTCCTTTAATGTAGTACTACAATCGTCGTACTAGATTAAAATAGTACAAACGTTAGTTCAATCATATCTGTTTGGCATAAGTTAAAAATGAATGCAATAGCAAATAATTCGTTTATTATCAGGGTTGGAATATGCTCCCATCCCCATTGTTGAAGCAGACTTTTTTTAAAGATATATCTAAATCCATCTGCTAGCTCGGAGTCCCTAACATAATCCAGTACATCTAGCAGACTGACTTGGACGTCGATTTCGGGATGGGAATCTGCAATCATACAAAAGATAACTTAAATAATATCGGTGCATCAAAAAACGTATTTTCATTATCTTTCAATGACATTTCAATGAAAATACATGTATCATCCATAATAATGATCGTATCTCACTCTTCTGAACTTTTGTTTTTCAATAATTTATCATTCAAACTCTGGAATTTGAACCGGCTGTCATACATTTATGACCATCGAATAGTACTATTGCCCGCCACTAGTGACGCATAAATTTCACTTGGATTCTACTATAAGTTGATCTTAATCTCGTACAAGTTAATCAAACAGCATGTATATGCCTCGTTCATGCCACTCGCGCACTTGTCTTCCTAGCAAATGTCAGTTGCCTACACATTCATCCCGTTCGATATTCAATACCACAGCAATATCGCTTTTTTATTTACTGGTGAATGTGTGCCCGACTTAGAAGTGTTTCTGCAGCACACATCTTCCTTGGGTTGGTTTGTCTTCTGCAGTCGCACATCACTGGCACTGGAGGAAAGAAACAGCCGATCCCACGGAGGAAAATGTTTGTGTAAAAAAAGAAAAGAAAAGAAACAGTGGAAAAAACAATGGATACTTTCCCGGTCGCGTAGTTCTACAATCCATTGACTGAATTATTGCCGAAAACGTAAGGTAAGTTTACGCCAGTTCGGCCTTTTCCCGTATCGATTCGGCGATGTGATGGCAGCATATTAAATCACACATAGCTCCAACTAGCGCCGCTGACGACGTCGACGGCTCGTTTTGATTGACCACGTAATACAAACAATTATCATTTCCATCTCCAGCCACTTGGCGATCCTTTTGCGAGCTTTCCGTCGTCGTCTGATAGTGGCATTAGCTGAACGGGAGCATCTTCGATTTAAAATTACAGCACTTTTGGTCTATCTGGTTTCAAAATCAAAACAAGGTGTTTCCTGCGAGGTGAATGTCTTCTCAGATGTAACTCTGAAACTAATCTGATCATCCAAGTAGGCATTCGTTGCTCATTTCGAGACGGTTGTCATGTTACAGCTCGAAAATTGATTTACGGTGCTGCTGCTGCTTTGAATGAGTGAGGTTGTTTAGTGCGAGAGATAAGACTGGAGACGCGGCCTACTGCTGCAAGTTGTAGGAGTTTTATCAATTGCACGCCGCAGATCACGTATGCCTTGTCAAATGTAATTCACTTGAATTTGTGCTACACCGAGGGGATTTGTGATTGCGTTGTGAAGCTGCTACTGCTGTCCGAATTTGTCTTCTCAAATCACGCTGATTAAGCTGAACGCACAGACGGTAACCTTGAGCGAATCAACGTGAAAGTCTGGGGGTTTAATTGATAGATTTATAACCAGTACAGCAGCAGCAGCAGCACCAAGCGGATCATGAACTAGTTTTGTGTTGGAGGTCAATTTTGACAGGAACGTTCATCGATCAGCCCCTCGGCTGAGCAAAACGATCCGAAGTACTGCCCCACTAAGGATCACTTTTACAATGTTTGCTTTCACTGGTGAACCATAAACAAGATCTTTGCGTTTTAGAACGAAATAGAGGTGTGGGACGACTATTTAAGATAGATAGACGTTCCGTTTAAAGGAATTGCTATCAGTTGGTACGTTTTAGTTCTGCACTCTACCAGGCTATACATTTCAACCATTCTAAGCTAGTTGGCTGCTGTAATCTGATGAGTTACTACACATCATTTGGGTACGATCTATTTAGGACTTCCGAATAATCTATTTGTATATGGAAAGAATTTTAATCATTTCTATTTCAATTTTAGGACCACTACGAAACGATTGGCTACGATTCAGACGATTTCCAATATCAGCTCTCTGAGACCGGTTATATGACGTGAGTAGTTTAAAACCCACATGATTAGTTTAGAGCAGCGTTTCTCGATCCGGGTGGGTCTCGGGATGACCTCTGGTGGGTCGCGGGAATGCACCCAACTTGGTCATATTTGTAATATTTCGTGCGAAATTCATCTGAATTAGGTTGTTAAGGTGTATTGAGGTAATTGCATATTCGTAATCTGCATTACAAAAGGAACTTTTTTTTAAATAAGTGTGATTAGATTAGCGAAAATCACCACCTTAGCGCCCCTCGGGGGTACTTTCTTCGGGAGCAAGCTGTCATTTTGCTAGGCTTATGTCAAACAGTGAAGTGATTATTTTGTTTTAAATCTTGGCTTTAAAATCAAAATAGATGCAAATGGGATCGAAAAAAATATCCTTTTGCTCAGAAAACGAAGCCTTTGCAGATGATGTATAATAAGCTATATAATTTTCAAAATTAAAGAGCTCAATTTAATACTATTTGTGGATAATCCAAATTGAATAACAATTGGCTTGAATTGCAAATTTTTCAACCAAATTTATTGGATATTTTTTTGTATATATTTTGGTGTTAAGAAATCGTTCAAAAATTAGAATGCCATTTTGTTTGGCGTTTCAAAGGTTGTTTTGGTTTTTGTTTATCTGTTCTATCAATAATTTCAAAGCTATTCAGGTGCCATAATTTCACGGAAAATTCTTCATTAAAGTTAATTTGGATGTTCTAGGCCAGTTTTGACATTGTTGGGAATTTTTGGGGCAATTTTAATATTTCAGTTGTCCTAAAAAATACAATAAGAGTGGTCTGGCAGATTTAGCGATAAAGCCATATTGGTATTTCTAAAGCTATTCTAGGCTATTTAAGTGTTTTGAACCAATTGGGCATTGGAGGCTAGTTTAATTATTGTGAGGGCATTTTTGGTATTTTGACGTTTATAAGGCTACTAGCTAAGTGTGCTCGGCCTTGTTCGGGACTCAATATTAGCATGAGTTTATGCGCCAATTAAAAAGAAGAGTGCTATATTGTACGTAGCCACCCCCTATGATCTCCGCATGCCAAATTTGGTTCCATTTGCTTCGTTAGTTCTCGAGTTATGCAGAAATTTCTGTTTCATTTGAATGAGAGCCCCCCCTTATAGAGATGGGAGGGGTCTCGGACCATCAAAAGAACCTTTCCCTGCATCAAAAACCCCTGCATACAAATTTTCACGCCTATCGGTTCAGTAGTTTCGAGTCTATAAGGGTCAGACAGACAAACAGACAGACTGACAGACAGGACAGACAGACAGACAGACAGACAGGACAGACAGGACAGACAGGGCAGACAGGACAGACAGACAGACAGGACAGACAGACAGACAGGACAGACAGACAGACAGACAGACAGGACAGACAGACAGGACAGACAGGACAGACAGACAGACAGGACAGACAGACAGACAGGATAGACAGACAGGATAGACAGACAGACAGGACAGGACAGACAAACAGACAGGACAGGACAGACAAACAGACAGGACAGACAGACAGGCAGACAGGACAGACAGACAGACAGGACAGACATACATGACAGACATACATGACAGACAGACAGACAGGACAGACAGGACAGACAGACAGACAGGATAGACAGACAGGATAGACAGACAGGATAGACAGACAGGATAGACAGACAGGATAGACAGACAGGATAGACAGACAGACAGACAGGACAGACAGACAGACAGGACAGGACAGACAGACAGACAGGACAGACAGACAGGACAGACAGACAGACAGAACAGGGCAGACAGGACAGACAGGACAGACAGGACAGACAGACAGATAGATAGAACAGACAGACAGACAGGACAGACAGACAGACAGGACAGAATTTCAGAATTTCAGAATTTAGAATTTATTTACTTCGTCAACCAACGTAAACTAGTACAACTAATACAGTTTTGTTTTCTTAAATATATATTTATATAAAAAAAAGTAGTGTCAGATAGACAGACAGGACAGACAGACAAGACAGACAGACAGACAGACAGGACAGACAGACAGGACAGACAGACAGACAGGACAGACAGACAGGACAGACAGACAGGACAGACAGACAGACAGACAGACAGACAGACAGGACAAACAGATAGATAGGACAGACAGACAGGACAGACAGACTGACAGGACAGACAGACAGATAGATAGAACAGACAGACAGACAGGACAGACAGACAGACTGACAGGACAGACAGACAGACAGACAGGACAGACAGACAGACAGGACAGACAGACAGACAGGACAGACAGGACAGACAGACAGACAGGACAGACAGGACAGACAGGACAGACAGACAGACAGGACAGGACAGACAGACAGGACAGACAGACAGATTGACAGGACAGACAGACAGACAGACAGGACAGACAGACAGACAGACAGACAGACAGACAGGACAGACAGACAGACAGGACAGACAGACAGGACAGACAGACAGGACAGACAGACAGACAAGACAGACAGACAGACAGGACAGACAGACAGACAGACAGGCAGACAGGGCAGACAGGACATACAGACAGACAGGACAGACAGACAGACAGACAGGACAGACAGGACAGACAGGACAGACAGACAGGACAGACAGACAGGACAGACAGACAGGACAGACAGACAGGACAGACAGACAGGACAGACAGACAGGACAGACAGACAGGACAGACAGACAGGACAGACAGACAGGACAGACAGACAGGACAGACAGACAGGACAGACAGACAGGACAGACAGACAGGACAGACAGACAGGACAGACAGACAGGACAGACAGACAGGACAGACAGACAGGACAGACAGACAGGACAGACAGACAGGACAGACAGACAGGACAGACAGACAGGACAGACAGACAGGACAGACAGACAGGACAGACAGACAGGACAGACAGACAGGACAGACAGACAGGACAGACAGACAGGACAGACAGACAGGACAGACAGACAGGACAGACAGACAGGACAGACAGACAGGACAGACAGACAGGACAGACAGACAGGACAGACAGACAGGACAGACAGACAGGACAGACAGACAGGACAGACAGACAGGACAGACAGACAGGACAGACAGACAGGACAGACAGACAGGACAGACAGACAGGACAGACAGACAGGACAGACAGACAGGACAGACAGACAGGACAGACAGACAGGACAGACAGACAGGACAGACAGACAGGACAGACAGACAGGACAGACAGACAGGACAGACAGACAGGACAGACAGACAGGACAGACAGACAGGACAGACAGACAGGACAGACAGACAGGACAGACAGACAGGACAGACAGACAGGACAGACAGACAGGACAGACAGACAGGACAGACAGACAGGACAGACAGACAGGACAGACAGGACAGACAGGACAGACAGGACAGACAGACAGATAGATAGAACAGACAGACAGACAGGACAGACAGACAGACAGGACAGAATTTCAGAATTTCAGAATTTAGAATTTATTTACTTCGTCAACCAACGTAGACTAGTACAACTAATACAGTTTTGTTTTCTTAAATATATATTTATATAAAAAAAAGTAGTGTCAGATAGACAGACAGGACAGACAGACAAGACAGACAGACAAGACAGACAGACAGACAGACAGGACAGACAGACAGGACAGACAGACAGACAGGACAGACAGACAGGACAGACAGACAGGACAGACAGACTGACAGACAGACAGACAGGACAGACAGATAGATAGGACAGACAGACAGGACAGACAGACTGACAGGACAGACAGACAGATAGATAGAACAGACAGACAGACAGGACAGACAGACAGACTGACAGGACAGACAGACAGACAGACAGGACAGACAGACAGACAGGATAGACAGACAGGCAGGACAGACAGACAGACAGGACAGACAGACAGACAGGACAGACAGGACAGACAGGACAGACAGACAGACAGGACAGACAGGACAGACAGACAGACAGGACAGACAGACAGGACAGACAGACAGACAGACAGACAGGACAGACAGATAGATAGGACAGACAGACAGGACAGACAGACTGACAGGACAGACAGACAGATAGATAGAACAGACAGACAGACAGGACAGACAGACAGACTGACAGGACAGACAGACAGACAGACAGGACAGACAGACAGACAGACAGACAGGACAGACAGACAGACAGGACAGACAGACAGGACAGACAGACAGACAAGACAGACAGACAGACAGGACAGACAGACAGACAGACAGACAGACAGGCAGACAGGGCAGACAGGACATACAGACAGACAGGACAGACAGACAGACAGACAGGACAGACAGGACAGACAGGACAGACAGACAGGACAGACAGACAGGACAGACAGACAGGACAGACAGACAGGACAGACAGACAGGACAGACAGACAGGACAGACAGACAGGACAGACAGACAGGACAGACAGACAGGACAGACAGACAGGACAGACAGACAGGACAGACAGACAGGACAGACAGACAGGACAGACAGACAGGACAGACAGACAGGACAGACAGACAGGACAGACAGACAGGACAGACAGACAGGACAGACAGACAGGACAGACAGACAGGACAGACAGACAGGACAGACAGACAGGACAGACAGACAGAAAGGACAGACAGGACAGACAGACAGGACAGACAGACAGGACAGACAGACAGGACAGACAGACAGGACAGACAGACAGGACAGACAGACAGGACAGACAGACAGGACAGACAGACAGGACAGACAGACAGGACAGACAGACAGGACAGGCAGACAGGACAGGCAGACAGGACAGACAGACAGGACAGACAGACAGGACAGACAGACAGGACAGACAGACAGGACAGACAGACAGGACAGACAGACAGGACAGACAGACAGGACAGACAGACAGGACAGACAGACAGGACAGACAGACAGGACAGACAGACAGGACAGACAGACAGGACAGACAGACAGGACAGACAGACAGGACAGACAGACAGGACAGACAGACAGGACAGACAGACAGGACAGACAGACAGGACAGACAGACAGGACAGACAGACAGGACAGACAGACAGGACAGACAGACAGGACAGACAGACAGGACAGACAGACAGGACAGACAGACAGGACAGACAGACAGGACAGACAGACAGGACAGACAGACAGGACAGACAGACAGGACAGACAGACAGGACAGACAGACAGGACAGACAGACAGGACAGACAGACAGGACAGACAGACAGGACAGACAGACAGGACAGACAGACAGGACAGACAGACAGGACAGACAGACAGGACAGACAGACAGGACAGACAGACAGGACAGACAGACAGGACAGACAGACAGGACAGACAGACAGAACAGACAGGACAGACAGGACAGACAGATAGACAGGACAGACAGACAGACAGACAGACAGACAGGACAGACAGACAGACAGGACAGACAGACAGACAGACAGAACAGACAGAACAGACAGGACAGACAGGACAGACAGACAGACAGACAGACAGGACAGACAGACAGACATACAGACAGACAGGACAGACAGACAGACAGACAGACAGACAGGACAGACAGACAGACAGACATTGTGGGTGTAAAGATTTTATTTACTTAAGCAACTTTGCTTATCAACGTGTTTTTATGTACGTAGTATGAAAATTTTACAGAAGTTGAAAATGAGCGAAGGGCCATTAATGCGACAGTCCCGTACGATGTACGCGGAGATTTGAAGTATGCCTTCAAATCTACTGGCAAAAAAGTGTGCGCCCGGCTTTGCTCATATACTGTCTGCGGCTGTGAAATAGTTCTAGCGACGTTTCATCACTACCTAAAGCCGTACGTTGCCTATAGAATTTCTTCTTTACCCAACTATTGTGTTGCTCCTCTCGTCATGACCAACTTGGTCGTCTCAGGTTAGTCAAAGAAGTGAGCGTTTAACTTTGTACTGTCATTTTAATGGCCCTTTGCTCATTTTCAAGTTCTATTCAATTTTCATATTGCCGTTCTCTAACGGAACTATCAATGCTGATGATGGCACAGCACGCAACAACCCCCCATGATATTCCTGAAGATTCTGCAATGTCGGTAAACATTTCGGACCATTCCTGAAATTCTCGGAATATTCCATAATTCCTCGGAACTCCTTGAAATTTTCTGAAATTTTCCTGAAGTTCATGGGGCTGCCCTAACTCTGATCATCCTTGAAGTACTCGAAACATCCCTGACTATTAATGAAACTACCTAAAAATCTAAGATCTCCCTTGAAATTCTTTGGACATCGTATCGAAGATTTCAAAACTTCTAGAAAAGTTGCGTAATTTACTTGAAATTAATGGAACCGTCCCTGATGTTCTCTGATATTTGCTGAAGACTTCGCATAATATTTTTAAGTTCTTGAATCTGCCATTAAAAAACGGAACTTCTCCCAAACCACAGACAAACAGACGTAACTCTTTGAAAAAGTTTTTCTTGAAAACATAGTATCTCAAAACATAGGACCTCACTAACGACATCTCTTGGGCTTCTCGCGGAAATCAAGCTTGCTCGCTAACTCGCAAACAATATTGCATAAAAGTTCTATAGAATGTATAGAAACGTCAAAGTGATCCGATGCCAGCGCTGCGACGAGTAGTTCGTGGAACTGATAATATTCAAATCAACCGTTAAATGCGTGAACGAAGATACACAATGAAGTGTTAAGCTTGTTTGTCTGTGTCCAAACTGTTCTCATATTTTCCTCATGTTAATGTAACTTTCCTAGCGTTTCCAAAATTTTCATGAACCTGTAGAAATTTTGCTGAAGTTTTCCGATTTAACAGCCCTAAGGTTTTCCGATCTGTCCTGATGTTCTCGGAGCTTCCGTGAAATTCTCGCAAAAGGCCGGAAGTTATTGGTTCTTCTTCTTCTAGGCGTTTATTCGCTCAAATTTTAGGCGGCTAATCAGGACCCTAATTTTAACCGTTTGAACACTGTGGAGCGAAAATTTCAAATTTTGCATTAGGCTAACAACAGACCTCCTCCAAAATAAGGGGAACGACTCTACTTTCGCTTATTCACATTCCTGAAAGAAATCGAAGTAACCTATTTAAATTGTAGTGTGGAGCTGCTTGGCATATTTTCCATTAGATGCACATGATTTCTCAGCACCTACCGTGTGTATCCTTCTCAATAATTTATATTAAATATCTCCACATAAGCCCTCACCTGATAGGTATGGTAACCATTTTACGCTTGTTTATCAACTTGATTATTCCTTTGTTCCAGATTTGCTTCTCTCGTCCCCCACTTGGACCACCACCGTTCGAACTAGACGCAGCGAACCCCCGTCGACGCAGCCACCGCCACCATGATCCAGGGTTACGGGCCAGTGACGCAAGCCCTCCTAGGTACCCTGCTGACATGGGGCCTTACCGCACTCGGTGCCGCATTGGTCATCTTTCTCCGCGGCAATCAACGCAAATCGCTGGACATTTCGCTCGGATTCGCCGCCGGTGTCATGATTGCGGCCAGTTTCTGGTCCCTGTTGGCACCGGCCATCGAGCTGGCCGAGAATTCCAAAACGTACGGCAGCAAGGGCGAGTTTGCCTTCATTCCGGTGGCAGTTGGATTTCTGCTCGGTGCGATATTCGTCTACGGGACGGATAAGGTCATTTCGTTCCTGGGGATCAACAGCCCGACGATGATGATTGCTTTGACGCATACCAACAAGGATAAGGCCGATATTGCGATTGATGATCAGGTTTCCTCGGTGGAACATGGACGGAGTTCTTACGCAGGGGTGTCGCCGAACCCTCAGGACAATTCCCTGGCCATCGGAATGGACAGCTTTGCGGATTGCCTGAATGCCCAGCACGGGAACGTTTCCCGCAAGCGTAGGAAGGGCAGCGGATCGGTTAAGGAACAGTCCCTGTATACAAACACCAGTCAGAGTCAGATTGATGCACAACTGTCGCAATGGAAGCGAATCATGCTGCTCGTGGTGGCCATCACGGTACACAACATCCCGGAAGGGTTGGCCGTTGGCGTGAGCTTCGGTGCTATCGGAACAACGGAATCGGCGACCTTCGAAGCGGCTCGAAATCTGGCTATCGGAATCGGTATTCAGAACTTCCCCGAAGGTTTGGCAGTGAGTCTACCGCTGCATGCTGCTGGTTTCAGCGTCTGGAAGAGCTTCTGGTACGGTCAACTGTCCGGAATGGTAGAACCAATTTTCGGAATTCTCGGTGCTGTGGCCGTGAGTGTGGCGACCATTATTCTGCCGTATGCCCTGTCCTTTGCCGCCGGGGCCATGATCTACATCGTGGCGGATGATATTCTGCCGGAAGCGCATGCTAGGTACGTAGACTTTTTAGACTCATTTTCGGGTAGCTTTTAAACCAATTTGTGCATTTTCTTCACAGTGGAAACGGACTGATTGCAACGTGGGGAACGATAGTCGGGTTCGTGGTCATGATGTGCCTCGACGTTGGCCTGGCGTAATCATCTCTTCCCACGACCACCACAACTAAATAGAGAACTACTTTGATACCGTAACATACCGATGTGATCGAACTGTTGGAGTGTACTTTAATTGACTAAGTATTAATTGTATTCGTTTAGTGAAGTAATGGACACCATTGGAAGTGCAGAGAATCGATTTCTACGACGAATAAGATTGAGCTTGAAAGTACCCCATCTTGGGTACTGCTTTGAGTGGATTGTGTATCATATAGGGCGTAGAATCAGATGATCAATCAATTTTTCCACAAATTTTATTTTATCTCTAGGATAACATTGTACAAATCAAATAAATACACATTTACGACCGAGTAGATGAGCTTTCAAATTCGCTGGCTGGGATTTATTCTTATCACAATGTCTTCTCCGATAGGCCTACCATCTTTTCGCTTACGTCCCATAGCCAATGGGCGGTTTCGTTGTCGCAGCCCTTTTTGCTTGGCTTTTGTGCACGGCAATCTCTGGAAAAGGAATGATTTCACAATTATGCTGAATGACAACGGAGACGATGCAACTTACGCGTAGTACTTTCCACTCTCGTTGGCCAAATCTTCGTCCAGTGCGGCGTACAGGCTGGTTTGAGCTCCTGATTGTGGTGTTTTGAATACGAAGCGAAGAATCGGTTTTACGAGGTTACTGAAGCAATGGAAAGTGGAGCATTACTTTAACAATGGAGAAGGGACCAGTATTTGATTTTGTTACAACTTACTGTTCGAAGAGGAAGAAGAAGGTACCCATGTGTCTTGGAAGCTCGGTGTCGACGGTTCCTGGATGGACCTGAAAGATTTTTTTTTAATTGATAAGGTACAGGATATTACAACAACGTATTTGAGTATGTGCAGGATCAAGATGCCATTTGTACTTGTGGTACTCCGGAGCAGTCTGATGTCCTCTTTTTCTTTCCCTTTTTGTTTGTTTAGAAAATCTAGATCACGATAATAAGAGGTTGGAGGTACAGTTTCAATATCTTCAATAGCTGGTAGCTTGGACCTTATTGTCCTTCCGCAGAGTAACCGTAGAGGTAACTCTAAGACTAGAAGGTCCCGAAGAAACGAGCTCAACTTTTTGGCTCAGCTCTGGTACTATCTTCGGTTCCAAGCTAATCGATGCACCCCTCGAAACATAGGAAAATCCATTAACCCCTCATTTTATCTGTCAAACTTTCATAGCGAATCAAAACAAACATTGGCTCACTACTTGACTAGCCTATTGGTCCCAAGCAAATCGACTAACGTACCCCATTCTAATATAAATTCCAGTTCTACACTAGTACTGGAATTTATATGAAAATGGGGTACGTTAGTCGATTTGCTTGGGCCCAATAGGCTAGTCAAGTAGTGAGCCAATTTAAAATCGTTAGTTTCGTATTGATTGTTGGCACCGTTGTTAACCGTTTGGCAGTAGCGCTTTTCGATACTAGTTAGGCTCTTACTGGCATAGCAATTTATACGAGGATCATTGTCGGTAATGTCTTTAAATTGAACCAAGACAGCGCCTAATGCAACAGGTGAGGCGTCTGCTACCACCCTAGTACGCAAAGCATTATCAAAGAAAGCGAGAGTATCAGCGTTGGATATCATTTGTTTCAGCTTTTCAGAACTTCGTTGGTGTTCATTCGACCAGGCGAACCTACTGGCACTGCATATCAATTCCCGTAATGGTGCAGTAATGGTTGCTAAATCTGGGTTAAACTTTCCAACGTATGTGACGAGACCTAAAAAACTTCTTACTTTGTCAGAAGAACGAGGTTCACCGAATTTCTGCAGCGCTTGCACCTTTTCCTCCGTTGGGCGTATTCCGTTAGAGGAAATAATATGACCCAAAAAAAGCTATTTGCCGTACTTTAAACATGTATTTATCTTTGTTCAGCAGAATTCAAAACTGAAAGAACTTTGTTTAAAGCCGCATCATGCTCTTGTTCAGTTTCCCAGATACTACAATATCGTCAATATACCTAATTAATGACGTTGTCACACCCAGCAAGTATTTGTTCCATGGTTTTTTGAAACATGCGGATAAGGTGTGGGTATATTTATCGGCGTTTTACCCCAGTACCACGAACGAAGATATTACGTCACTCGTTCGTGACTGTCTGGCACTGGACCCTAGTGAAACACCAATGGTGGCCAAACTGGTACCCAAAGGTAGAAATCCAACAACGCTGAACTTCGTATCGTTCAAAATTGGCGTCAAGAAAGAACTGCGTGACCTGGCACTTTCTTGCGACCTGAGAGTATCCAGTTCCGTGAGTTCGAAGATTCACGAAGCCTGAAAATCACCCAATTGACGAATGCTGCCCCTATGGAGTGACAGCTTACACTTCCAGAAATTCAACCGAGACGCACCGTAGAAAGCCTGATGGAAGCTCCCAATCGCCCCAATCCAGTCCGGCATATCGCAGCCTCCGTTCATCACAGCCGTCTCGGTGCTGTGGTTGGTGGTGGAAAGGGAGTCTTCCACCATGCTTGCACAGGCAAGTACTGTTTTGATTCAAGCTTTTCGTTGCGTGACGAGTTTTCCCGCACCCAGGTTATCATTAGCTGTCCGGACCATGATGAAGTGAATCCTGTTGCTGCTGCACTTCGGACAAATAGACGCATCGCAGGAACGAACGATGAGTATTTTCAACCGGGGCGCACGGTAGAAAGCACTTGGGAAGTCCTCGGTTCCTCTAACTCAGTCGTGCCGATTCCTGCCAGCGTACATCAATGTCGTCCCGGCCCTGAACTTAGATGTGGATCGGGGGTCTTCCAACTTGCTATGTCAGGCAAGTACAAATATTATTCTGAACTTTCGCTGCCTGATGCCGAGTTGAATTTCAGCACTCTGGATGTCACCGATCGAGGAAATGCTTCTACTCCTATTAATTGGAACCTGGGACGCGCTGTAGAAAGCATTGTGGAAGCCCCCAATCCCTCTGACCCAGTCCTGCCATCTGCCGCCTCCGATCTTCATAGTCGTTCCGGGCCTGTGGTTGGATGTGGAGAGGGGATCTTCCAACCTACTCACTACGGCGAGTATCTACTTGAGATTGTTCATGTCCATTCGCCACCTGATATGTCCATGACTTCCAGGGAAAACGCCTTACCTCGTGCGACCACCGACCGTAGTAAACACGACGTCATTTTTTACTACCAAAACGTAGGCGGAATGATTTCTGGTGTTCTTGACTACCACCTAGCTGTATTGGACCGGTGCTACGATGTCATCGTTTTTGTCGAGACTTCTCTCGATTCTCGAACGCTTTTCATCCAGGTGTTCGGATCCGAATACGAGGTTTTCCGCTGTGACAGAAATCCGAAAAACAGTCGGAAATCTACTGGAGGTGGTGTTCTCGTGGCAGTTCGTTCCGGGTTAAAGGCGAGAGTTATTGAAAACGTCTTGTGGAACTGTGTGGAACAAGTTTGGGTGGCCGTAGAACTGAGCGATCGCACACTGTACCTATGTGCGGGTTCGTGACAACGAACTTATCGATACCCATTGCCGGTCTGTTTTCACCATAATGGAGAGTGCGACACCAACTGATGAGATAATCGTTCTGGGTGACTTCAATCTACCCGGTGTTTCCTGGAAACCATCTTACAGCGGCTTTCTCTACCCAGACGCTGTACACTCTGTATTTCATACAGGATCAGTTAGCCTTCTCGACTGCTATAGTACAGCAACACTATCTTAAATAAACCACGTAGTCAACAAAAACAACCGTAGCCTGGACCTCTGCTTCGTTAGCGTTCAGGACACCGCTCCTTTTATCTCCACGGCTTCATTCTCCACTAGTAAAGCAAGTACATCATCACCCTCCCTTGGTTGTCACTGTTGCTGACAATCACGATCGGGTCTTTGACGACATTTCCACGACCGTGTCATACGATTTCCGGAAAGCCGATCACCGTAGTATCGTCAACGTGCTATCTAGTATAGATTGGGAGAGCATCCTCGATCCTGATAATGCTGAAACCGCTGCGCAAACATTTTCACATGTCTTGGCTTATGTCATTGACAGGCACGTTCCGAAAAGAGTTCACCGTAAAATGTCTCATCCTCCCTGGCAGACGAGTGAACTGCGTAGGTTGAAGTCGACCAAGAGAGCCGCATTAAGAAAATTCACTAAGTATCGTACGCTTTCGCTGAAACGTCACTACGTTAGGCTCAATTATGAGTTCAAGCGAGTTAGCCGTCGATGCTATTCGCGATATCAACGAGGGATTCAGAGGAAACTCAAGTCGCACCCGAAGTCATTCTGGAATTACGTAAATGAGCAGCGCAAGAAATCCGGCCTACCTTCTTCAATGGTGTTGAATGGAGCAGTTGCTTCCACTCCTCAGCAGATCTGTCGTTTGTTTTCTGAGAAGTTCGCCAGTGTTTTCACGAATGAGAGATTAACTGACGAACACGTTACCCTAGCAGCTAGTAATGTTCCACTGTACGGTCAAACACTGGGTGCGATGGATGTCAACGTCGAGATGATTTCCACTGCCGCATCACAACTCAAGTCGTCCTTCAATCCAGGACCCGATGGCGTTCCATCCGTATTCCTGAAAAAGCATATCGCCAGCTTGCTGATGCCCATGCTTCACCTATTTCGATTGTCCATCTCGAGTGGTACATTTCCATCTTGTTGGAAATTCGCACATATGTTTCCTATCCACAAAAAGGGCAGCACACGGGATGTGGACAATTATCGTGGAATTACGTCATCATGGAGCCTCTACTCTCTCATTGTAAGCAGTATCTAAGTGGTGATCAACACGGCTTCACTTCCGGTCGTTCTACTTCCACAAATCTGCTGTGTTTGACATCGTATCTTACGGAAAGCATGGCAGAGAGGACTCAAACAGACGTCATATACACCGACTTGTCAGCTGCCTTCGATAAGCTAAACCATGCCATCGCGATTGCCAAGTTGCATAGACTTGGGGTCAGCGGCAACCTCTTGCGATGGTTTCGTTCATATCTCACTGATCGGCAACTGATGGTTGCCATTGGTGACAACCGGTCCAATATCTATCTAGCTACGTCAGGAATACCTCAAGGAAGTCACCTCGGACCTTTGATTTTCTTACTCTACTTCAATGACGTGAACTTGGTCATCGAAGGCCCACGACTATCGTATGCAGACGATCTTAAAATTTACCTACGAATCCGCTCGATTGATGTCTGTCACTTCCTTCAACGCCAGTTCGAAGCCTTTGCCAGCTGGTGTAATTTGAATCGAATGGTGGTTAACCCCACTAAGTGTTCAGTGATCACTTTTACTCGGAAGAAAGAACCAATCACATTTGAATACAAACTTATCGGCACTGTAATCGACCGTGTGAACCATGTGAAAGATCTGGGTGTTATTCTGGATTCTCAACTTACGTACAAGCAGCACATCTCGTACGTTGTCGACAAGGCGTCTAGGACATTGGGATTTATCTTCAGGATAGCAAAGAATTTCTCCGATATCTACTGTTTGAAGTCACTGTACTGTTCCTTGGTGCGATCCATTCTGGAATATTGTTCTGTGGTCTGGAGTCCAAACTACAACAATGGTGCTGAGAGAGTAGAGTCCGTTCAACGCCGTTTTCTTCGATTCGCTCTGCGGAAGCTGCCTTGGAGAGACCCATTTCATCCGCCCAGCTATGAAAGTCGTTGCCAGCTGATTGATCTGGAGCCTCTCCGAACTAGAAGAGACACCTCTAGGGCCCTGTTCATTGCGGACACTTTACAAGGTAGAATTGATTGCAGTGCAATCTTGGGGCAAGTCAACATTAACGTCCAACCCCGTGCGCTAC